AGATGTAGAACCACCAATCCCAACCTGTTAGCTGCAACCAGCCAACCAATTCTTAATCCATTGTACAGTCCATCTTTCAAATCCATACCTTTTCATTTTAGAGAGAAGGGATCATGTCAAAGGCTTTGTAGAAGTCCAGGTAGATGACATCTATCTCCCTTCTCCCGTCCACTGATGCTGCCACTCTATTATACCGGATTGGTCAGGCACCATCTGCCCTTGGTGAAGCTGTGCTGGTTGTCTCGGATCATCTCTTCATCTCATGTATGCCTTAACATGGTAACCAGGAGGATCCCAGGCACAGAGGTGAGGTTCACTAGCCCGTGGTTCCCTGGGTCTTCCTTTCTCCCTTTCTTGGGAGTAGGGAGTAATGTTTTCCAGTCACCAGGGATTTTACCTGACAGCCATGATTTTTCAAATATGATGGAGAGCGGCTCGGCAACCACATCAGCCATCTTTCTCAGAACCCTGCGATGCATGTCATCCGGCCCCATGGATTTATATATGGTTTCATGAGGAAGTCTAGTGGGGTGGAATCCACTCCTCTCACCCACGCCTAGAGGTTCAGGATCCTGGCAGACACAGGCAGCCTGGCCACCTGTGGAGACTGAGGCAAAGCAGCTCATTGAGTACCTCAGCTTTTTCCTATGTCTGACAAAGCCAGTTCTCCATCCTCATTTATCAGAGGGGGAACACTCTCCTTGGCTGTGTGCCTGCCTATGTACCTGTAGAACCCCTTCTTATTATTTTTCACATCCCTCACCAAATTCAGCTCTCTGTCTGTGCCTTGGCTTTCCTAATCGTATTTCTACACAACATCCCTATATTCTTCCCAGGCACCCTGCTTCCACATCCTGTACATTTCTCTCTTTTCCCTCAGTTTAAGCTGCAGGTCCTTGCTCAGCCAACTCTGAAACATGTAAAACAGCTCTTGAACTAACCAAGAATAACTTCTACTTTTTTTATTATTTTCTGCACAGTCACCTTGTACTGTTAAAGTGTGATGTCTTGGGGCCTCATAAAGTCTGAACCAATTGCCTTGTGAGAGCAATCTCCTATTTTTATTCCTGAACAGTATGAATTCCTGTTTCTACTCCAGCAGTGAGGTCTGTGACATGTCTGATGTCCTTCTTCCCTACTTCTGTGGGTCAGCAGGTAGCCCTCCAGAGCTACCTATGTTGAAATGAAAGAATGAGACATTTACTTATCTGTCTGCAGCTTTTAAAACAGCTCTGGGAAGCTGTTCCTCAAAGCTTTGGAATATGATGTCTATTGCCAAAGAAGGTGGAGTGGAGGGAGGAGAAATACACTGTGGGCAATAAAATGTAATAAATGTAATGTATTGCATGTCTACTGCCATTGCATTTATGATATGTATATGTCTGTATTCTTCTTTGTGCAAGCAGAAATATCTTTGTGTCTTCATATTGTTGGATTTCCATAGTACCCACAACTAGCAGAGCACAGGCAATCTAATCCATAGAAACTGTGGCTATTTCTTCTGTTGAAAGCTAGAAAGATAGCTTTGTTTCTCAAAAGGGAGAGATGATTTAACTAGAATGGTTACAGACAATTTCCTCCATTGTAGTCGTTACATTTCTGAGTTCATCATAATTGGCTTAAGGGTGTATTTTGTTCAATTTTCCCAAAGCCATTTATTTCACTGCAGGAAAAAAAAAAAAAAAGAAAAAAAAATTCAATTTGTAATTTTGGTCTAGTGGGAAAATGTTAAACATTTTCATACCAAGGCGTAGACTGTATTTTCAGCCTTTCAGCTTTGGGGTTGTAATGATTTAGTTCTTCACAGCAGTCTGCAGAGGGAATATATTTGTTCCTCCAGGGACTGAGCTCATCCATGCCTGGGACACCATCACTCCATGAATTTAAGAAGTTACTGTTTACAAGGTAAGGTGCTGAAGACCACATTCCTAGCTTACCCCAAAGGGAGATAAAATGCTTTCAGTTAAACCAGCTTCATTTGAATTTAAGCTGAGTGCTTTATTGAGTGTTAGGAGCAATCCTGCTGAAGATGACGGACCAGGAGAATGTTGATAACTTAATAAGCCACAAGAACACAGTGTATGCATCATATGCTGGCTGTCCTTGCTCCACACCTTCGTGATTTTATCCTGCTGAAGGAGGCAGTGGCAGTGTAATAGATTATTCACATACATAAGTGAAGTTAAATACTGTCAATTCAGAATTTTCCTCCCTCGATCTTAACGAAGTTTTCTGTTTACCATATAGATGTTTAAAGTATTTTACAACTGCCCTTAGCTTCCCTAATACCTCCTCTATTACTTTCAGCTTGAGTCAACCAACTACTGAACACTGGCGTTGTGATTTATCAGCTGTTTCCCTCAAAGTCAGTGAAAGTTCTGGGTTCTCATACCTAAAGAATTAAGTCTCCACAACTGACTGCAGAGATTCATTCAGCCTGAACGAGATGCAGGCCTCAGGCTCACTGGTGTGTCACTGATGTGTTTCATGAATTATTGCTCATCTGCTGCTGCAACTGCCTGCATACAGGCACACAGAAAACACAAGGCAATGGGACTCAGCTTAAATCTCTTCTTCTGTGGGGCAAACTAAAATCAAATTGTATTTGGTTGGGTAGGAGCACACACATGGTCACTTGCTGCAAGGTCGCAGGGTGTGTAGTGGCACAGCAGTCAGTTCTGACGCACACAGGAGTAATTTTCTGTAATCAAGAATGACTCTAGCAGCATTTTACAAGAACAGGGACATTTTTATTGGAGTCCAGTGATTGGAATGAATGTCTGTAGTTATTTTAGTGTTAAATTTCCTTTGCATAATAAAATCTTTTTAATGCTTTTTGGTAAGGTTCCTGTGTAATGCTAAACAGCAGCTTTGTTACATTCAAGTGCTGGACGGATGTCAAGATGCTGAAATGCAATTTTTTAAACACCGTGACATCTTAATGAATGAAATATGCTCTCCACTGAAGGTAGAATCATGTAGAGTGGTTCAGAACTGAGCATCTGTCTGTGCCACAATCTGGTAGTCCAAATGCTGAGCCATGAGATACTTGGGGTAGGAAGGAGGAATTCTAGCATTCCACTGTTGGCAACAGTTATGTTTCAGAAACGCGTAGTACCTTCAGAGAGGCAATGGAGAGCATGGGGTGAAGCAGCTCACGGGAAAACACAGCCTGGATCTTCAGTTCATGTATAAAAGGAAGGGCTGCCGCTGCTCATACTTCCCTGCACACAGCATGCATCAAGTGGCAGTGTTAGCAACTTCCATTTGATGAATTTCTGAATGGGGACAGCATATCTCTGACTCCTGATAACTGCTGCGGGGCTGGGGAGTGCTACGCTGATTTTTCCTCTTCTACCCATTTTCCCACTGGCTTGCTAAGATTAGATTTCTGGAACTAAATAATTCCTAAAGCTGGGGCATGAATTAAAATCTATCTGGACCAAATGCACCCTTAGTCTATGCAGTGGCTCTGAGATAAATGTTCACAGGTGATTCCCACAGATATTCTATTGTTCAGCCTCAGACCCAGGAGGAATGGTTGAACAAAGCCTGTTCAGCTGTGGGTATTGTTGAACAGATCTTGCCCTTCCACAGGTGCCTTACAGCTCTGTTAGGTTTCTCTAAAACACACACTTCTAAAAACACTGGTTTTTAACAGAAAAGATACCCCAAGCCCGCATCTGCTTCCTGTACCTGGGGCCATCCTCATGCTTGCATACAGGAGAGCCCTTCCACTTTGGCTGTATTAACAGATTTGCATAAAAGAAAAAGCAGAAAGTGCACTTTTATACTGCATTCATCAGCACATAAAAAACAATCTCCCGGGACCAGGTATGGGCTCGTTCCATTACATGTCACAAAACAATTGTCTCTGAGCATGCTGGTGCTTTTAAAGCTGACACTGCTGTTGGCTTAAAAGCTGTATTAGTTACATCTATCCATTAAGTATAGATTTCCGTAAGTACGGCACTGCAGTGAACAAATCAGGTGTTTCACACTCACACCACAACTAGAGAACTCCTCTAATAAGCACATCCACCTGAAATTCTCACATTCCTGCTCATGTTCCATATTTAAATATTCTATATTACCATGTTCTATGTTTAAAACACTAACATAGCCTCATCAATTTTGATGTGAACTTCATCACCGTGGTTTGACAAGCATCTTGGTGTGGTACTGACAAATTGATATTATACAAGAAGTGGAGAAATGAGTCTCCCTGGGCTGGGAACTGCTGAGTCCTGGTTACAGCGCCTAATCTGTTGCTCAGTAGCTCATCTCCTGGTGGCCTTGGCTCAGTTTGGATGCACTGGATATACATGGATACATGGAGACTGTTTTAGCACCAAAATAGATACAGATGCTTTCTAGACCAAGTTCAGGAGAGATCTTGGTGCCATATTCGAGCTGCCTTTTATATATGCTCATACTGCTATCCCAAATACTTAACAGGCTGGTCTAACAGTGGCCTGGGTAGCTTTCTGATGAGCATCTAAGTCACTGTCAAAGTCCAAAGTCAAAGTGGTCTGAATGCAGCCCTATATCTTTTGTTGCCTCAGCTCCTGCATCTTTAATGCGAGGACAGTAACATACCTCGGCAAGGCTACAGAGGTGTTCAGGTCCCAGTAAAGGGGATAACATGGCTACTTTTACAGTCAAATATGTACTGTGCTGTAAAACCAGGAGCCTGGTTTTAGAGGAGTTTGTCGTATCCAAGAGCTTACTAAAGAATTTGACACTTCAAATAGAAAATCCAAGAGTTAAAAAAGGGTTATAGAAGTTAGCAAGACTGCACCCCGGCATCTATAGCAGCAATTTCACATGGAGTAAGCTGTATTCTAGTTTAGCTAATTCCAAATGGCACTGGAATGTGATTTACAATTTCCTCTTGCAGTTGACTGCTAACATACGTATATATAGTACAACAAAGATACACATAAGGGTGAGTTATTGCCTTTTCATTGCACACCCTTTCCTAAACATCTGGAGCTTTATTTACGTGGCACTTAGTCTTCCTCTGAAGAGTATCTTTGCCTGGAAAAAAGATATATGCAACAGCTACAAAAGATGAGGAGGAAGAGAACAGTATGGCTAATAATGAGAACACCAACAGCAAAAATGTACAAGGTTTTGTCACAGTAATCCTGAGGCTGGTGAAAAGGTGGGATGAAATTTGGCAGGTACACTGAAAACACCCAGTAGTTCCCAAGAATGAACCAGAGGAAGAGGAAGATGCTGAGGGTTAGATGGATGTAGTACTTGTGAGCGTTCTGCCTCCAGGGGTATTCGTCGTCATCATCATCATCGATCACAACAGACTTGGAAAGCAGTTGCCTCATCTTGGTTGAGTCGTACAGTAGCAGAGTCACCTGGAACCATTGAGGAGAAAAGGGAATGAGTAAACTGTGGAAAGTCTGAACATCTCCTGACCACTGCCAACCTTTGGACCAAACTAAAATTGAGTGTGGGAAAGTGAGGTACAAGAAATCTGAGGAGCCCAAAATGTGACAGATCCTTGGTGAGATTTTTAGGCCAGACACTGGAAAAATAACTTGCCAATGGCATGATAGAAAAGCATGGGAACAGATTATGTGGGGAAATGGCAGCAGTTTTCACACTGGAGATTTAAAAAATCAAATTAGAGTAATTGCTAAATGAGCTGAGGAGGGAAGTTCCTGCCTAGTTTTGGGTGGATTTGTCTCCCCTCGTTGCTTTCCATTACCATGTAGATGAATCAACTGAGAACAGGATTCTCTTGCTCTACCTTGTACAACTGTTCAATTGTGTATTGACTAAATATTCGCTGGAAAAGCCAGCTGTTTTCCTAACCCAGTTGTTGGCAAAGGTTATGAGAAACAGAGATTAAGGTCCAGCCACAAACGTAGGCCAAAAAATGCCGTTTCCACTGGATGTCATGCATCACAGCTGAGAACTTGGAACTGGTTGTTCAAACCACTAAGGCATGTTCTCCTCATGTGAGCATTTATTTTAGGCAGGCTCATGACACCTGGGAGAGGAAAAACTGCCTGCCCAGTGGGTCTTACTTTTCCATATGGGGGCCTGTTTGTTGACTTTAAGCACCATGATGCTTGTTAGCTTTGAGATGATCTCAGCACATAGCAGATGCCTGTGCTGAAGCCTCATCATGCTCAGTGATGGGGTTAACTGATAGGTGAGTGTTGGTTCAGAGGAAGACAGGAAACCCTTGGATTTATGGATCTCATCTATACCATCTAACCACTCCATAGAAAGTCTATCCCTCTATACATTGCTTTGCCACGCTGTAGTTGAAGCAAATTCTAGCTGTTGCTCACACTGATAATAATGCAGAATATATGGTTATGGAGCAGAAAGGCATGAATTCAGCAAGACTCTCCAGATACTGTAGAGTGGCTGCATTGTGTTGGTGAACAACTACAGGTTATCAAAGCTTTTAAAAGACTGGAGGCGCTGAAAAAGCCAAATAGATCAGATCCATGTGGCCAGAATGAGTAGTCATTAAATTACATCTATCACAGGACAGTGTTCTTTCAAGACCTCATCCTGTACTCATCCTATACCTGTTCTTAGAGTGTCCATAAATCTCTAAGTCTCAGATTTCAAGCTAGCTATGTGTACTGCTCAGGCACAACTCCCATACGCCTGTAGCAGTCAGTGCAGTCCCATGAGTGCAACTGGGTAGAACTAAGGGGTGGGATTCAGCTAGAGATCAAGCACTATGAGATGACAAAAGTTAGCCAAATCAAGTTCAGATACATTGCCAGCCTGCAAAAAAACACTGTCCTGTGTCAGCGGAAACCAAATTCAATCCAGTATTTGATGTCGGTAGAAATATTAACCGACCCACTTACTCTGGGTGATAAAAAGTGATTTCAAATCAGCAACAGCTAAGAGATAGTCAGCATTTTTGATGAATGCTTCCATTCATTAGCCTGAGAAGTTCCTTTCAAATCTGATCTCTTCTAAAGCATTGTTAAATTGCCTTTGAATATACAGATAAGTCCAGAGGTGTGATCAAATGTCTAAACATTTGCCAGGAGAACTCATAGCATTCACATAGCAAGATTAAGATTACTAGATTAAGTACTTTCTTGCTTCTCCTTTTACTTATTTGCTGCCCAAAGATCCTCAGAGGGATAATTGGTTTCCCAGTGCTGTACTGCAGTTTGCTTATAACTGTGAAGGAGTTCAGGGGATGTAGAGATCTACAAATAGTTTCCCTGATCTTTCAGTCCTGGCAAAGAAAAGGACCTGGATGCATTAGCTAAGGGGACTGTCAAAGTGGGGCCATCCTTTGCCCTGGAGTCATCGCAGAGCTACAGCTCTATAGTGCCCAGGGTGTGACATGGGTATGGGGTGTCTTGCCAAGTAGCCAAGTAGCCATCCTCTGCTGGCTCAGTAAAGATAAATGAGCATGGTCCACTAGAAGAGGGCTGGCTGTGCCCAGATTAATAGGCACAGCAATGCAAGGGTACATTTACTTAGGGTTGAAAGCCATGCTACTGTGTGGTCACTGCTTCTAACCATGCTGAAGTGTGATAAATTGAACCCGTGCAGCACTATGAGCAAACACCTGCGAAAATGAAGGAGGCTTGGAGGACTGTTTGAGGAAATAGGACTTCATTTCCCATAGCCAGCCATGTTATGCAGTCTTTTCTATCAGTGGGTTTGATAGCAGACATACTGTAAGAGAAAGGCATACCACAGTGTATGGGACAATGCTGAAGGGAACTCATTAGCATTTCACTTGGCTGATGGGTGCCCTGAGTTTGGAACAAGTGCAGTTCAATCCAGATAGCTGTCTCCTGTACTGCATGCACATGGCTGTCTGGTGCCATCATTTTGTCTTAACCAATAAGTCAAAGTCTAGTCACACAAAGTATTTTTCACACATAGAATGCACATTACCTTTAAGCTGCCAATCATGCCACCCACCAACAGATATAATGGAATTAGTGGCTGAACTGGGCAATCTTCCAAAAACTTCATTCCTGAACAGCAAAAATTAATAATGTTTGTTATCTTGAGTGATCAAACGGTGCAACAAGCTGTACAGTGCAAACTAAAATTCTGAAGTACAGTTCTTAGACCCAAGATATGTAACCAGTGTCTGTTGAAGTGGGAGCTGAATTAAGTGGGGTTTGCATCCCCCACTGCAGGATTGAGGGCTGTGAGCAAGCAAAGGGCAGGAGGGGAGCAAATCTAACTACTTAACTACTCCGGCTTCCATTTTAACGTATGATAAATGAACAATTGACTGAGCTGGTCAGGAAGTTTTCATCAGAAGTAGAAAAAAATCATTGAAAATTAGTACCATTTATAATTATTATTTTTTTTTCCCATCTGATAACCTACTCCCAGGCCTCTCCTATTAGCACCATGTTTGTAGCATGTTCCTGAGTCAGATTCCTTAAAGTTTGGGTGCCAGTGCTTGTGGGAGCTCCTGGAACCATTTCAGTTTCCCAGGCAGCTAATAGGGAACGAGGGATGCTCAAATTTCTAGGCTGTTTGGTTGCTGGAGAATAAAAAGCACTGGTTGTTATGGAGCTGGGGATCCTGGCAACCCTCAAATCTATTGCTAGCATGAGAAAGCTGAGTAAGTTTTAGGGAAGGGAATGTATGGTGGTACAAGGCTGATGCTGGCATTAGACACTGAAGCTTATGATACAGGTCTGTGGCAGTGAGACTCATCTGTCCAAATTTAGATGTCTGCAATGCAGGCATCTATATCTGAACTAGTTTCCTAGACTCTCCTTATGGTCAATAGGGAGAAATAGACCCTTCTAAAATTCAATTCATCTCTTCCTAAGATAGGCATTTAAAATAGGTCAGATGAATTGTGCCCTGAAAGTGCTTCTTTCTCTCTATAACTGTACAAGGAATCTAGACAGCCAGCTGTAAGTACCTAAAGTTAGCTGAGCTGAATCATTTGCCCAAGTCTCCTACTCACTGGTGTCTTTAAATAATTTTAAATTCTTCATTACCCTATAATTTTATTGTCATTGAGCCCATATTTCAAGACTTCTACTGTTCAGTTGCAGAAGCCAGAAAGGATTTTCTGTTTTCTTCTTGCTGTAAAACTCATTTTCTAGGAGATTTTTTTACTTTTCTCTTAACAATTGGTTGTCATTTTGATGCAGGACACTTAGAGCAATGTGCTGGCCTTAGTGCTAAACATTTCTCTGGTGGAACGTCTTGTTTTCATGTTCAAAACTACATCAAAAAGGCAGTTTGGCATCAGGAAAAAGATATCAGTGATTTGATGGGGAGTGGGTTTGGATTTTTTGTTGTTGTTTGGGTTGGGGTTTTTTTGCCTTCTTCTGTAGCTGCGGTCCTCTTCAGTGGATTTGGTGGATTTGCCCACCAAATCCACTGCTATGGGTGCTCTAGAACATTGCTGGTGTGCTAAACCTCTCCTGTACTTCTTGCATAGCATAATATGGATATCCTGGATTGTGGTTGCTTTGCTATGGATCTTACATTAGTCATAATATGCAGTGGCCTGCTATGGAGAAGCATATGGATTATTCTAGACTAAATATTTAGTACTAAGCCTCTTGAAATTGAAAAGGGCTGGACTTGGATGGACTTGGACTCTCTTCCTCTCTGTCTGCTATTTCTAAGCCTGCAATTTTTTGTCCATTTTGCCACTAACACAGAATTCAGACTCCCAACTTTAAAAAGGTGGGCAATAGAGAAATCATTGAGAATTCTGTCATTTTCAGAAAGCAGCTGCCAGTGTTTCCAGAGTCCTTGGCCGTATAATAGCCTGCTTGAAAAGCAGCTGGCCAGGGATCTTAGGGAATATATATAAGTGTAAGAACCCAGACAATTGCTGTTTCCAGTGCACTACTGAGATTTTGATTTGAGAGAAAAAATTAGGCAAGAAAACATGCCAATTTTCTTTCATGGAGTTAAGATTCTGTTTCCCAGACCAATCTGTTATGGAATCCTTTCATATATGTAACATGACAGCACTCAGACTTGGGAACAATTTGAATGACAAGCAGTGTTACTCTGTAGTTTTGAGGAGAATGTTCCAGGCAGATATGACAGCAAAAGAAAAGATGAAAGGAATTAGTACATTTATAACTTTAAAAATACAGTACTGTGGGTGAATGGGAAATATAGACCTACTGCTGGCAGATAAGCACTGACATTTGCTACAATGAAATTGAGGCATATGTGTAATGCAGAGATCAATTCACACATAGCATGTGCTTTGTTTGGGAACACCCAGACCAGCAGGAGAGCATCAGTGTTTCCTTTCCATGGGCACCAGCTTTGCTCCCCTTTGGCTCTTGGTGATGGGGGTCGATGGGCGATGAGAAATCCAAGCTCTGCTGTGAATCCAGCGCTCCCAGTGACCTGCCCTGGCACACAGCACTGGCCTTGTTTTTACTGCTCTGCTCTTCTCAGGCAGCTGAAAATGGCTGAAATGCACCTCATAACAAAGGACTTTTAAAAAAAATCTATACTGTGATTTACAGTACTACCAAGATTTTAAAATATACACTGTTATTGTGTAATTACTACCAGTAATTCACCGCTGTGTTTCAACTTATATTGTTGTAATTTGCTTGTTAACATCTGAAAATATCTCAGCTTCCCTCTGCAGAAAGCACAAGCCAAAATGACTGGAGGGGCACTAGCATGATCTCTGCAATCATGAAAACAGATTGTTATCAAAAAATCAGAGGCTTCTGCTTGGATAATAAATACCTGCATTTGCCTTGACATATAATTTTTCTAAAAATACCTTTGAAGGTACGCAGCCGCAGAATACCAATATTGTCTGACAGTGCAATATTACAGTGACATCATCTCTTAATTTTGGTGAGTTGTGGAAAAAGAAGGGCTCTGTCTTTGGTGGGGGAGATGACCACAACTCCAGGCTAATATCTTACCATGCACTTTGCATTTCTCATGGATTTTAAAGGTATTATAAAATATCCCTAAGAAACATTATTTCAAAGCAGTCAGATTCCAGTGTGGATCCATTTCCAGAAGGCTTGCTGTCAACATGCACACAAGCTGTACCACACTTGAAATCATACCTTCTCACCCCTACTCCATAGCTCAGGCATGTTCAGCCTGGGGAAAAGCTAAAGCCAAAATCCTCTTATGGGATGAATAGCAATTTTAAGTCATGGATAAGCATAGGAGCCTAAGTGTTGAGATGGAACAGTTGAGGCCATCTCTCAAGTTCCTAATTGCTCTTTAATCCCTAATTAGAACTCCCTAATTCCTAATTAGGACTCCCTAATCAGAGCCGTATCACAGTCATTTCTGGTACTGAGGAGAACCCAGATAAAGGAAGCAGGGTTGGCATTCAGCTGAACCCATTTTTTCACATTTCTGGCCAAAAAGAGATGCCTGCAGTTGGGCTCATTGTCCAGAGTCCCTCAAAAGTAATCTCATCCTATTGCAGACATCCAAAGGAGGCTGGGGGAATTTCACTATCAGAAATGCCCATTTCCCTTAATTGACAGCAAGGGCAAAACTGAATACTGAGCTTGGTTACAGCCACGTACAGTCCAGATTGAGTTGTGATTTATCCCACCCACAATGCCTGTGTATAGAGCTCATTTGCACCATCACTCTTTAATTATAAGGCAGAAGATGAACAGCTCCTCAAGGACACCAAGACGGAATTAATGCTAGGGTTTCTGAGGACAAGACTTAAAATTTAGTATCTGGATACTCTGGAAAAAGACATTCAAAATCTAAGAAATGACATCTGATGAAGTTGAGAACTACATCTAGAAGAGAAAACCTAAATGTAAATAAAAAACAAGAAATCTCTGACAGGGAAAAGCTCTGCCAGAAACCATCTGGGCTTGTAATGCACCATAAGCTAAATAAGAGCCAGTGAGCTGGTACAGAGAGCATCTTTTCTTCTGAGGTGCATTTACAGGAATCCTGCATGTTAAACAGAGGAGCTAATTATTCTGTGCTGCTCATTCCTCAGGTCTCAGCTGAGTCTTGTGTTCTGTCATATTTTTTGAGGAGGAAAAATAAGCTATGCATACCAGGGGCCAAAAGAGGAAGGCAAACGTATAAGAAAGCTACAAAAAAGTGACCTGTGAGGTCAGGTTGGAAGAATTGGAAAAAGGATGGAGGGGAGTTATAATAGGAACCTTCAAATATTTCAAAGCTTCTTTGGGTAGGACAGTCACCAATGTATCTTTGTGTGTAGGACAGGCTACAGGCTATTTCATTTGCCATAGGGGAGACTTAGGTTGGATGTGGGGAAAATTATTTTGTCTGAGAGAGCAGTAAGATGCTGAAATAGGCTCTGTGGGGAGCTGTGGAATTTTCTGGAGTCAGGCCAGAGGGGTCCTGAGCATGTGAGCTGGTCTGAAAGGGGAGGCAGGGTGGTACCTCTGCCTGTGTGCCTCAAGTCAGGGTCACGGCCCCTGGGGAGAGTGTGGAGGGTCCAAAGGAAGCAATGAAGTATTGGGAAATGTGCTAGAAAATGTGCCTTAAAAAACGCTCTATTAATGATAAGAGAAAACTGATCCTCAGGAAAGAAAAGAGCCTTACACAGTTTGAAAATATTTAACATTCTGCAGCTCAAAATATTTTCCTTTCCTTTCTTAAACATTTGATCCTTAATTCTACTTGCAAAGCCAGCCTTCGGGTGGTTATAAAAAGACAGATGAGCCAAAAAACAGGTCGCATTTTCAAAAAGGTGGAGAAATAGCAGACTAGACAACCTTGTCTTCCCTTCCAGCCCTGTGCTTCTAGGGTTTTTGCAGTGCAGTTAATACAGAGGAAGCCTGATTAATGAAATCTTCTCATGTGTCGGATGCTGAGCTTCCACCCCCAGACAGAGCTGAAACACCCACAGACCTCTGCCAGTTGCTGGTAGCCTAAGCAGCAATTGAGCTGAAGCAAACACGCCAATAAAAAAGTGAATTAAAATAGATCTGAGACACAGACCATACCAGCAACTTCATGGTGAAAAGAAGTCACAGAGTGGTTTAGGTTGGAAGGGACCTCTAGAGGTCATCTGGACCAGCCCAACAATGGAAAATGTTCAGATGCCCTCCAAATAAGCAGTGCACTGCCGGAAAATTCAGAGTTATGGTTAGATATAGAGAAACCCAGACCCTGTTAGATTTCAGAGATGTACCAGTAAGGTGTCCAAATGTCGTAACTCCCGTCCCATACTAAAGTGACCCACACTGGAGATGTATTTAAGACAAGTAGTTTCTGAATTCAAGATCTGCTTGCTCCCCTCCATACGGTATGGACTGTCTGAAGCTTAATTACAAGTTTAATGATTGGAAACTTCAAGGTTTCCAACTCCTTTCTCCCACAAGATGCATTAACTTGCCAGGCAGTGTCAGAAAATTCAAATTACAGAAGTGCTTCTGTAGTTAACTTACCTGTAAAAGTCATGGACAATGGTAAGGCAAGGAAAGCAAGGAGCCCAAATATAAAGCATGCTGTGAATGGCAAAAAAAAAAAAAAAAAAAAAAAAAAAAAAAAAA